GTTACAGAGTGAAAGAGTTTCTGGTTGAGAAACTTTAAAGGTTGACCAAGATGTCAAGAACTTAACTGTATCTTGTGCTAAACAACAGAAAATCCCTGCTGCCTAAATGAGTAATCCCTAGGAGAAGTATTTAGATGAGATGACATGTAAACTACTTGTAGTTACTTTGAGGGATCTGGTTGGGTTTTTTGTATTACTTTCAGTTACTGCTGTCTTAAAACACTAAAAAGATGAACTTTTCTAGAAAACATCACACTTCTTCAGAAAGCAAGTTAAAGTTATTTAAAAAAAAAAAAATTTACTTATACCAGATGAAGTTCAGACAATTGACCCTGGCATGAAGTCCCTGGATGCTCACTGTCGTCTTAGTTTTATTTCGGAATGCACATGCCTTTACGCTTAGTAACAGTAAGCAATAAGCTGTATGTAGATAGATAGGCATGACTTGCCCTGACTTGCTTTCACATCCACAGATGAAATATAAAGATGTTTTTGCATTGGAAGTTGAAGTTAACAGATGTATAAGAACAGAATTTCTTAGGATCAGGTGATGTTGTACATCTTGTCATTGGGAATATTCCAAGTGATACGGAGAAAAAAAAAAAAAAAGAAAAATTCTCGTTGGAATGAGGTATTTAATTGTGTGCCTTTACACATACATGTATATATACATGTAGGCTGTTCCACATATGTATACCACATGTATGTGATTGGAGGGGTGGATGTTCCAAAATGTGCTTTTTCACTACTTTTTGTTAGATGACAAACCATTGAGTGCCTCTTGGTGGTGCTGATGTTTCACGTATGGCTAGAGAAGCCATTCGGATACCAGTCTAGTGCTTCCAACTGGGTCAATTATATTCTCCCTATTCTCGTTTTTCTCCTTAGAAACAAACAAACTCCTAAACAAAATGAACTTAAAGCTGTCAGAACTGTTTGTGTGGAGCACAAACTCACAATGAAGGGCCCTTGCTTTACTGGCTGACTTCTTGTCACAGCTTGAATAAAGATGCAGTTTAAGCTGTTAAATCAGTTAATCTGCTAACTTCTGTTTCAAATGGCTTGTTCCTTGTCTGGATACAATGCTAATTCTTGCTACTGTACATGTCAAAATGTTTTGTGTTTTTTTTTTTTTTCTTCTTGGTGTTGATTTCTAGGACTGGCTAACTGAAAACAGCCTGGGGGTTTTTTTTTGGTGCTTTCATAAGTGCCCCCAGCAGTATTTGTTGCAATTTACTGGCTTTAGAACTCTCTAAGCAAATCCCGTGTAGGGGATATGTTCCCATGCTTGCTGTGCTTCAGCTTCTGACCAAAAGGGGAAAACGTGGGAAACTGATGATTAGCCTAAGGAAAATGAGCAAGGTAAAAAAATCTACTTTTAAGCTTTTTTTTTTTTTCCTATTTGTATTTTAATAACAGCTGTACAGTTGGGCTAGGGAGAGACTTTCCTTTGGCTTTTTGAGTTCATCACTTGTTTATTGGAGCACCCTTGTTCAGTAGCTTTGTATTTTTGATTAATTTGCTTTAGTACAATGTCTTAAGAGAATTCACATTCTTATTGGCTGATTAACTATTTGTTGGAGTATTTATAACTACTGGTAGTAATCTGTCTTTGTTTTTCTTTACACTCTATAAAGGTTCCTTTTATGGAAGGGAAAAGGATACAGATGGTGTTTGCCACTCAGCATCCAAACTGCTGAGCTGGGGCCCCCTTTTAGTGTACTCCAAAGGCAGGAGTTCACTGGTCTCTTCTGCTTTAAGTATAGTTCTGGTTTGCTACTGTGAATGCAGACAAAATGCTGCTGGCAACACAAACTTACACTCCAGTCTTCTCATGTTTACAGAATCACACATACAAATAAATGTGGCTGGTCTATTTGAAGAGAGAATTGGCCTATGGTCACTTCCATATGTGAATATCCGTATAATGCAATAAGCTGTTCTCCTTAAGCCAGTTAGCAAAATAACTGCATCTCCAGTAGATTAGATAAATGTAAGAAAGGGGAAAAATGGAGAGGGGTGAGTTTGAAGGGTGAACTTCACCAAAGAGTGTGAAGTGATTGTGCCCCTGGACTCGGCACGCACCTTGAATACTGTGTTCAGTTTTGGGCCCCTCACTACAAGAAGGACGTTGAGGTGCTGGAGCGTGTCCAGAGAAGGGCAACGAAGCTGGTGAGGGGTCTGGAGCACAAGTCTTATGAGGAGCGGCTGAGGGAACTGGGGTTGTTCAGTCTGGAGAAGAGGAGGCTGAGGGGAGACCTTATCGCTCTCTACAACTACCTGAAAGGGGGTTGTGGTGAGGTGGGTGTTGGTCTCTTCTCCCAAGTAACTAGTGATAGGACAAGAGGAAATGGCCTCAAGTTGCGCCAGGGGAGGTTTAGATTGGATATTAGGAAAAATTTCTTCACTGAGAGGGTGGTCAGGCATTGGAACAGGCTACCCAGGGAGGTGGTGGAGTCGCCATCTCTGGAAGTGTTCAAGAAACGTGTGGATGTGGCGCTTCAGGACATGGTTTAGGGGACATGGTGGCGCTGGATTAATGGTTGGACTTGATGATCTTGAAGGTCCTTTCCAACCCAGTGTTTCTGTGATTCTGTGTGTGTACCCTTATGCCTTGTGCCTCTGTTTGTAGATAGGTGTCCTGGTTTCAGCTGGGATCATTTTCTTCATAGAAGCTAGTGTGAGGCTATGGTTTAGGATAAAAAAATATTGATAACATGCTGATGTTTTGAGTTGTTGCTAAGCAGTCCAAGCCTGGCCAGCTTTTCATGCTGTGCTGCCAGCGAGCAAGCTGGGGGTGCATGGGAACCTGGGAGGGGACACAGCTGGGACAGCTGACCCAGGCTGCCCAAAGGGATATTCTGTACCATATGACGTCATGCTCAGCATATAAAGCTGGGATGAAGAAGGAGGAGGGGGAGAGGGGACGTTCTAAGTCATGGCGTTTGTCTTCCCAAGTCACAGTTACATGTGATGCAGCCCTGCTTCCCTGGAGATGGCTGAACACCTGCCTGCCCATGGGGCATGGTGAACAAATTCCTTGTTTTGCTTTGCTTGCGTGCGCAGCTTTTGCTTTACCCATTAAACTGTCTTTATGTCAACCCACGAGTTTCGTCACTTTTACTCTTCTGATTCTCTTCCCTGTCCCACCGTGGGGGAGCGAGCGAGCGGCTGTGTGGTGCCTAGTTGCTTGCTGGGGTTAAGCCATGACAACAAAGACACTTAAAGAAACCTTATGGAGGAGAGGGAGATGACAGCATGGCTTCACCAAGGGCAAGTCCTGCCTGACCAACCTAGTGGCCTTCTGTGATGGAGTGGACATCAGTGGACAAGGGAAGGGCTATGGACATCGTCTATCTGGACTTCTGTAAGGCCTTTGACACGGTCCCCTAC